TAGTTTATTTTATTATTGATATAGATATATATTAAGGCATTTTAAACCTTTCCCACACTCTTGCAATATTCTAAACCGTGTTTCTAAACTCTAAACGCTCTAAAAGAGCACAGAATGTCATGATTTCAGCTCTCTGCCTCCTCTGCTCTCAGCCACCTGCAAGCACTCTTGGCCACGCCCACTTCTACCCTCCGCACGGAGAACAGCCGATCAGCTGCAGCAGGAAGTTTATCCTGCAGCTCTGGGCTGCACAAAGAAGCAGCAGGTGCTAAATAATTTAAAATAATTTATTTTAAATTAACAATCCATGCCGATCATGTGGCTCTTCCATCACTCAGCTAATTTGTGTGTATAATCTTATTTTGTAAAACCGCGATAGAGCGAGTCCGCGATAAATGAACCGCGAACTAGCGAGGGACTTCTGTATTTCTATTTTAAGCCATATAAGAAAGGGCAGCACAGTGGTTCAATTGATAGAGCTGATGCCTCTCAGCGAGCAGGTTACCCCAGTTCAAATCCCAGTCCGGGGGCCTTTCTGTGTGGAGTTTACATGTTCTCTCCGTGCATGCATGTGTTTTCTCCGGGTGCTCCGGTTTCCTCCCACAGAACAAAAACATGCATGATAGACTGATTGGTAACTAAATTGTCCCTAGGTGTGAGCGAGAGAGTGAACGGTTGTTTGTCTCGTTTGTCTCCATGTGTCCCTGTGATGGACTGGAGACATGTCCAGGGCGTCTCTCCTCTCGCACATTGACGGCTGGACATGGGCACCAGTGGGCCCCACAACCCGAAACGAAAGAAGCGAGTAAAGATAATGGATGTATGGACGGACATAAGCAACACAAATTATGCGTCATTGACGAATTATCATAATTGACCCAACTGATTATGCCTTCGTTAGCTGTGTAGTTTAAAAAATATTGTCATTGCAATATAAATATGACTACGGTACTTTTTTTGCATGCTAATAATGCATTTGGTCAATCCAGCCTTAAAGCCCACACCTGGTTTAGATGATGGTGATGACAGAAGATTTCTTGACGACGATGTGGGTTTATCACACCTGATTGTCACTCCAATATTAAAGAGTAATGTCACACGTTTTTCTAATCTGATGCGACCCATAAGTATTCTCAGCAGCACCGTTCCTGTCTGCTCTGTATATTTAGTGATTAGTTTAGGTATCGAGCAAAACATTTGTCCGTTGGTTTATAATTTCTTAAATATTTCAATCTTTTTCTGATTTCACTTGAACAAACGAAACACAACCTCTAGTACTGTGTCTTACACAAATTGGTGCATCTTTTGTGCTGTTTGATGCATAAGAAAAGTTTTTAAATTATTAAATGTATTAATTTAGTATAATTTATATTCATATTAGTCAGCCTTTTATGTCACTTTAATGTTGTTTTTGTTGTGTGTTACCTTACCAAACTGTTAATTTCTCAAAACGGACATGATTGACATTTTTATTACATTTTTTTACACTTAATGAGTTGACCTGTATTTCTAAAAATATATATATATATAAAATTAAAAGATCTAAATGTAGTAAAAACGCATATTGCCATGCATGTTGACTGCCTCAAATCCAGATTAAATTGAAAAGTTAATACCAACAGAGCTCAGCATTTAGCCCAGTTTCACAAACATCCAACCAATTCTCTCCTAAAGACTTGCCTATAAAGCCAGCTGGCAAGTTTTTAAAGCAAGATGTCAAAAAAATCCTACACTTAATGTTCAAAACCAAAACAAAATGCACTCACAAAAAACAAACACTATGTACGCCTGAATTTCTGGATTAAACAACTGTTGAAGGTCATCATAATCACACAAAGCTCCTGTTTCTTGTGTAATGCAGCCCTGTCAGAGTTGAGCCCTGCAGAACGTGTTAAGCTTGTACTGAAATGAAAAACATGCTGATGTTTTATTGAGGTTATTTTTGTGATAGGACGGTGTTTAATGTCTGAAGTATGTGTACAATTTAAGAAAATACATTTCTAAACTAAGGAACAATCTATTCCTCGACTGCTAACAAGGCGCTGATCATCGACTTTAGGAAAATAAAATGGCGGTCCCACCCCTGATTATAAGCGGAGGCAGTGTGGAGAGAGGAGCTGACTACAGTTTCCTGGGAGTCCACATTGAGGGGGATCTGACCTGGAGCGTGAACACCTGTGTTGCTGAAAAAGACCCAGCAGAGACTGTACTTTTGAGAGTGCTCAGGAGGAACATCACCCAGAGACCGCTGGGATCTTTTTACTGATACTTCATAGAGAGCGTCTTAACATGCTGCATCACTCCGTGGTATCTTAGCTGCACAGTGGCTCAGAGGAAAGTGCTCCAGAGAGTTATCAACACAGCGCAGAAGATCGTCGGCTGCCCTCTTTTCTCACTGGAAGATCTACACACAGTTCCCGCTGCGGAGGAAAAGCCCTCAACTTAAAGGACACGTCTCACCCAGGACATGATCTGTTGGAACTGTTACCATCAGGGAAAAGTTTCAGATCAATCAAGACAAGAACAAACGGATTTAAAAATAGGTTTTTATCTGTCAGCCATTAGTGAGCTTAACAAAAGTTGTAATAAGAACTTAATAAATTCAATAAGAGACAATTTGTGTAATATCAATCTGCTTGTGTTGCACATTTGAAGTACTTAAAATCCATAATTATTACCTTTTATACAGTATATATATACACACACAAACTATTTTTACTTTTAATCTAGGAAGCAAACCCAAATGTTGTTGTATTTAGGTGCAATGACAATAAAGGTCTATTCTGTTATAATCAACGGAAGCCTCAGTGTGCTGTGCATACTCTGCATTCTTAGATGTGAGAGAAAAGGAAGATCCTGAAATGATGAGAGAGACGCAGTGGATGGAAGAAGACCAAACAAGTGTTGATGCATAGACTGTGCAGGAAGTGTAAAGATTGTAGAAAAGATAGTTTGCAAAATACATTTGGAGAGCGTAGACCACTTAAATGTTGGTGGGATATCATTGTATTTTGAACGCACTTTGGTAAAATCTTTAAAACCTAAACTGTCATAGCTCTGCTCTCTGTCAGCTCCTCTGTCATGCTGCACACTCAGTAATCACTCAACTCATGTCACCTGTCACCGCTCATTATCCCACAGCTCCACCACCTGGTCCAGTCAGTACTTAAGTTCTCTCATTCCTCTCAGTCTGGGCCAGATTCTCTATCCTGTCTCATCAGCAGTAGACTTTCCAGCATTCCATTGATTGACTCATCACGTTCATGACCCTTGCCTTGACCACGACCACGCTTTTGCCTCAGCCCTCGTCTGCTTTTGCTCATCTGATCAGGTACCGACTCATGCTCTTGTTTTTTGACTCTCTTTTGGATCACGTACTGGATACTTCTGCTGAACAACTGACTTCACGGTATGAACTCTGCCTTTCCCTTCTGACTGTTTTTTGGATCACGGATTAAAGGTCAAGCTCATTCTGTATCACGGACTTATCCTTATCCCTGAATCTGATTCCCACAGATTCATTTCCCCAATTAGTCTCTTTCCCCCTGCATCTACTAACCTTTATCTTTTAGTTGCAAGCCTGTTGGACTCCGTTCCAGTGGACCTTAACATCAGTTCTACTTCTACTGGCAGCCCGCCACTTCAACACTACCCAATCACGAACTACCAATCAGAAGATCGGAACCGGCCCAGAACCGGACCTACTCCAGGGTTTTACTTTATTTCACAATAAACCTTTTAACCCTCTCAGTGGTTGTTGTTGTTGTTGTTGTTTGCGATCCGGCCTCTGGTTCATGACAAACTGTGATTGTGTACAAACAATAAGATGTTTAAAAAAACGGTTCCGTCATGTAGAGTCCAACTCTCTGTGGCCAGTTTAAACTTTAAATCTTGTTTTTACTGTGAAATTATGTTTGAGTTTTAGAGCTCCACAAAGGATTTATGTGATGTACTGATCTGAAGGTCAAAGCCCACTATGCCTGATTGAGACGCATGTTTTTGACTTACCTTTTTTAAATTTGGATTTTAATTTCTGCTGGAGGAGAATTGAACTGAAAATTCTGACTGCAAATAAAGAATAACAGCTGAATAGTAATGGGTATACTTTATTGTTTTTGTCTTGACCTCATTATAATGTTTTATGCTGAATAAACAAAACATTCTTAATGATGTAACAGTCGCGATAAACAATAAATCAATTAATCGTATGATAAAAATTATCAACCTCATTTTCATTTATCAACTTTATCGTTTCTTTGTGTCTCTCTCTTTCTACTGAAGACACTGGACGACAAAAAGCTCAACTCTGGTGCTCTTCACTGACCCCTCCCTTTCTCTTTTCTCTTTAAAATCCATTTTAACGATCCAAAATCACGTTTTTGGATTGTTAAAAGCAGCTAAGATGAGAAGCTAAGCTAACAGGCCGACCTCGAGGAAAAAAACCCTCCGTCTTGTCGAAGCTCCAAAATTCACGGTTGAAACACATGCCTTCATGTAAAAAGTTGTTTTTCTCTGCAAAAAGAAGCTAAAAACTTGTTTACTGATTTTTTTTTTTACTAAAAGCTTTGTGTGAAAAATGCTATGCTAAAAGCTCAAACCACACCGGGCGTCCACCACTTTCAGAACCAAAGAGAGACAGCCCATGTCACGTTAAAGGGCCTCTCTCCCATTTTTCTTGGAAGAGACGCGCTGCTCACTCCCTCACTATCCATCCTTTGGTTCAAACTGTCTTATACTGCCACTGTGGTCAAAAAAAGGTACTACACACAAAAATTAATCAACATTTCTTAAATTTGACAATAATTACTAATTATCGTCAAATTTCAAACAATATTATCGTTTATCGCAATAATTTCTGAGACAATTGCCCAGCAAAATTTGTTATCGTGACAGGCCTAGTAACAGATATATGTCCTCACAATTCCATTACAATGTCCTGTAGGGGACAATTTTGCAAAAGACCATATTTGATCTTTATTTTTTTTCCTTTTCCCTGAGTCATGTTTGGTAGCAGCAGCACTCCCAACGCGAGACGGCCTCATGATCGTTTCTGTCCTCTCTGTAGGATCCGTCCTCAGCTGGCCAGGGAGAAGATCGAAGGATGTCACATCTGCACATACGTGATGCCAGGAGAGCCTCAGGTGATCCTGGGTAAAGACAAGGCCTTCACCTTCGACTACATGTTCGACATGGACTCCCAGCAGGACGCCATCTACACCACCTGCACAGAGAAGCTGATCGAGGGCTGCTTCGAGGGTTACAACGCCACCGTGTTCGCGTACGGGCAGGCAAGTCTTCGGCCTCACAGCTGCAGTGCTGACGGTGCATTTTCTCTGAGTGGATGGAAGGCGTTTGTTTCTGTGCCTGAGAGTGGGAGAGAGGTTGACTGAGAGGTTTAAAAATAGATTTCTGGCACTCTAAGCAGTAAAAGTAAAAAATGCAACAAGTGGAAAACTTATCCAGAACACCAAACTGCTATTCTGTTTTATTACACGATTACGCATTTTTATATAAAATAGATTTTTTTAAAGGAATGTTGTGGCATAGTATTACAAAAACTTGCACTCTTGCAACATCCATCCATCGATTATCTTTGCCTGCTTCTTCTTTTTTGGGTCGTGGAGTCACTGGTGCCCATGTCCCATCAGTTACTGTGCGAGAGGCGGGGGACACACTGGACAGGTCTCCAGTCCATCACAGAGACGCATAAAGACAAATGAGACGAACCGACCTTCTCGCTGAAATGCAACAGTTCTACAACTGAGCTATGGTGCCAGTTAAATGAATCACTGTTTTTAAAAAATCAGGTTCAAACTTTTAATAAAGTCAGAAATGACATACAAGTTTGAATTCTGCAGCACCCACCTCACCTTCCATCCTCCTCTTGATCGCCATGGAAACGAAGTTCCTGCTGTACGGCATTCACGAATCAGAAGGGATTTGAAGTGTACTCACACCTCTTTCACATTTATACATCTTTAATTTGTTAACCCACAATTTCTGCAGAGCTCGCAGTGAATATCTTGTCCTGCTTTCCTCAGACAGTTCCCTTTTCACTATTCTGGATTTAATGACCCACTTGGCTCCGTGACTAGATTGCAGCCTTGCTGGTGTTGTATTTATAAACGAGTTTTAAAGATCTGGAGGAGTGAGAGTAAATCTGTTCTTAATCTCAGAATATATAAGCTGTTCAATGTAAAGAAAGATGTAGTAGAAGATTGTAAAACTGAGTATTCAAGACCTTTTTTTAACTTTAAACTTGTAAATGCATGGGCAGTGCGTGATGCATTTAATAATTGATGAGTAAATAAGGAGAAACAGCCTAATTTCACCAGATTAAAGGATTGGTTGAAGTTTATCATCTGTAAACTCTGAGGGTCTTATATGAGAACTGATATACAGTCAAATGCGTAAGGGAGCTCATTACAAAAAGCAGAATTTATTAAAAACTCTTTCTTCAGATGTTATTGTGTGACTGCTGAGCCAGCATTGTCTTCCTGTTTTTTCTATGTTTTTTGCAGTCACACTGCTTCTGCCTGCTTTGTTCTTTCTTAGCCATTCATTAAAACATTCATGTTGATCAGGAATAGTGTGCTGTGACATTTGTTTTTTGTATTTTTATACATTTCAAAATAAAAAAATGTTCACCTATATCTACATTAGCATACTTTTCCTTTTTTTTTTTTTTTTTTGGTCATTTTGATAGTTTCAGCGTTTATTTACCTTTTTGTGTCTTTTAGCCACTGTTTAGAGAATTTTAGCTTGTAGCTAGTTAAAAAAAAAGTTAGCTTTTAGCTTCTTTTTTTGATAATTGTAATTTTAGCTACAAATTTGCTCCTTTTTAGCTTTTAGCTACCACTGCTACACTGCTACTTTTAGCCTATAACTACAGTTTCCTAACTCTAGCTTTATGAATTTAAATCACTTTTTAAACGGATTTTTAGCATTTGTTCTGCTTTAACAAATGTACATCTATTCTTTAGCAAATTTCCACAATCACTCAGCATTTATATTTTATTTACAAAGAAAATTCAGTTTCTCCAATTACCGTATTTTCCGGCGTACAAGTCACACTTATTATGCATCGCTGCTGACCTATCTTGTTTATTATGCGTTTATTTAATGGTTTAAAACAGCTTCATTTCGCCTGGGCGGCACGGCGCCATCCATTCATCCATTCGGAGCCGCTAGCTCTCCAGCTTCCCTCCGCCTGCACTAGCTGAGTGAAGCGAGGGTGCATGGCATGGGAGGACTCGCTGTTGCAGTTCTTTGAAATTTAACAAGATTAACACTTAAAAACAATTATTTGTTTGCTCAACATTATAGTAAAGGTGTGTCTCAGTTTAACTTTTCCTTAATAAATGCGCTTTACTGGTCAAAACAGCTTCATTTCGCCTGGGCAGCGTGACACCTTTCATCCATCCTCCCTCCCTCCCGCCCGCCCGCTCGACCGAAGCTGCTAGCTCTCCAGCGTTCCTCCGCCTGCACCAGCTGAGTGAAGCGAGTGTGCACGGGTGGACTCGCTGTTGCAGTTCTTCCAAATTTAAAGCGTCAGTCAAAAATTGCCTTATGAATATGGAAAAAATAAAACGTATAAATCTCTTTGGCGTCTAAGTCGTAAGACTAACACATTTATGCAAAAAACTGACTTATATGCTGGAAAATACAGAATAATAGTTGAGTTTTATAAATGACCAAAACCTTTTTCTTATTTTATTAAACAGCAGTTTTCAAATTTGAGGCTGAGAATCACTTTTCAGAGTTTTTACTTTTGTATAAAAATGTCTCCTTCCCTCATGCAGACTGGCTCAGGGAAGACGTACACCATGGGGACAGGCTTCGATGTCAACATAGTAGATGAGGAGCTGGGTATCATTCCCCGTGCTGTTCAACACCTCTTTAAGGGCATTGCAGAGCGGCGCCAGGAGGCCCAGGAGCAAGGACGCCCAGCGCCCGAGTTTAAAATCAATGCACAGTTTCTTGAGGTACGCACCCGTCTCATTTTATCTGTCCATAGACTTGTTTATTTTTTATTTTCGGACAAAAAGGTAACCAAAATTAAAATGTTTTCCATCCAGAAAGATCAGGGGTCAGACTTCAATAATGCTGATGACTTAACAAACCGTGACAGCAACACTGTCACATAAAAAATTCAGCTCTGACAACTGAAGTACAGCAGCTGTCCTCGTGGGATTGGGATGGGTTAGGTGGCTGCGCAGTGGTGGATCTCCTTCTGGTCTGGAGGGGTCAACAGGAACTACAGATGTTCCGCTAAATCAGACTGACACCGTTCACATCCCTGTAGAACACCTAAAACTGGAGACTGGAAACAAATGTGTAACGTTTATAAGAAATGTTGGGATAAACAAAGTCACTTTCCAGACAGGAAATGGTTGCTTCAGATTTTAGTCCATAACTGCCGCCACTGCAGGTGGTGTGATGTTTTTAGGACTCTTGGATTGTAAGGAACAAGTTCCTCTTATCTGAACGAGCTAAAATTGAACTGTTTGGTGGCGTTTCTAATTGTTACATCTGGAGAAAACCAGTCACAGCTCAATCACTAGCTGAACACCACTTACACAGTAAAGCACGGGGGTGACAGCATCATGCTACGGAGTGCTTTTCAGCAGCAGGGAGCGGGAGACTGATCTGGGTTGAGGGAAAACTGAATAAAACAAAAACTTAACAGATCCTCAATGAAACCTGCTCCACAGAACTCAGGACCTCAGAATGAGCCGAAGCTTCAGTTTCCAATGTGACAACGACCCAAAACACACAGTGAAGACACTATTCTGTATTTTAACTTTTTTTTTTCAAGTGTTTTATTTTTTGGAATCATCTCTAAAAGTCATCGTTGTGATTATGAAAGCTGCTCGAGTCATTGGGGAGAATGTTCAGTCTGAACTGAACCATATTTTTTTTATTTTTTAAAGCTGACATTTCAGAATAAAATATTGCTCTAAAAGTGGATCTTCAGTTTTAGTATGTGGACAGTTTTTATTTAGCTTCCATAAAAGTTATTCTTATAAATACACAAGTGACAAAAAAGTAAAGATGCAAGTAAACCATTAAAGTATCTGAATATGGATAACTTATACTAGATTTAAAGTGACACGTCAGTTTCTAATTTTTTCTTTTGTGTCCGACTCCTTCCTTGTAGCTTTACAATGAGGAAGTTCTGGATCTGTTTGACTCCACACGAGATATGAAACAAAAATCCCTCATTAAAATCCACGAAGATGCCAACGGAGGAATTTATACAGTTGGAGTGACCACACGGACCGTGTCCTCAGAGGCTGAGGTAAAACGCAGAGCATTTTAATTAACAGTACTGCTGAAATATAAAATTACATACTGCTGTAATGCCTGCTCTGTTTAATTCAGAAAGCAACACTTAGTTATGCGTGTTAATTCTGACATGTGTTTGTCTTCCTCTTTAGATGATGCAGTGCCTGAAGTTGGGAGCTCTTTCTCGCACGACAGCCAGCACTCAGATGAATGTTCAGAGCTCTCGATCCCACGCCATTTTCACCATCCACCTGTGCCAAGTTCGTGTCTGTGCCTCCGACAATGTTAGTGCAGCCGCACACCGAAACGTTAACGCTGGACTCGTACGGGCTCTGATAACTCTGCTAGACCAGTGAAATGTTAATGTGAACGTGTATTTGGTTCAACACTGACAACTCATTTATATTTCTGATTTTCTGTCAGCAAGAAAATGAGAATGATAACAAGGTCTCTAATGGAAACTCTGAAATGGACGAATACGAGACACTTACCGCCAAGTTTCACTTTGTGGACCTGGCTGGTTCTGAGAGACTAAAGAGAACTGGAGCGACTGGAGACCGAGCCAAAGAGGGCATCTCCATCAACTGTGGACTGGTGAGCTGCTTTGCTCTTTTTCAGTTTAGCAGGACTGGAGCGTCTTAGAAAGCATCTGGGATGTTCTGGTGCCATCTAGTGTTTCAGTTTTACAAATGCCTCCAGCTGTGTTTGTTTTTGTCTGTTTTTTACAGTTGTACCAAATATGAAGTCTGTTTAATATTTTTATATAATTTAAATATAGATTGTTGTATCTGTGTACTAAATAAAAACTTCTCCATCACTCTTAAACGATCATCTTGTGGGTTCTCTGCCGATGTTTCAGCTTGCTCTGGGAAATGTAATCAGTGCATTAGGTGATCGAAGCAAGCGGACCTCTCATGTGCCTTACAGAGACTCCAAACTAACTCGACTCCTACAAGACTCCTTAGGAGGAAACAGGTTGGTGGACAACTGTGTATTTACTTAAAGAAACTCTTCGAATCCACTATTGAATGAACAGTTGAGACGTTTTAAAGTAGGATTATGTGGAAAAGTTATGAAGCATATTCTACCGGTTACTGATAGCATTTGGAACGACGTCTGTTTTGGGTTTAGCTGTGTTTGAGCTAGCTGTTGGCTAATAAGCAGCAAAAAGCTAAAAGTTGGCTAAGGCCAAAGGCGGGTGGCCTTTCACTCCATGACCCTTGCTTACCAAAGCTGGTTCTTGGGACATGGAATGTGACCTTTGTGGCGGGGAAGGAGCCTGAGCTTGTGCATGAGGTTGAGAGGTACCGACTAGATATAGTTGGGCTCACCTTGACACACAGCTCTCCTTGAGGGGGCTGGACCTTATTCCACTCTGGAGTTGCCCATGCTGAGAGGCGCCAAACTGGTGCGGGTTTACTTTTAGCCCCCCGACTTGATGTCTGTGTGTTGGAGGTTTCCCCAGTAGCTTCCCTGCACCTTCCGGTGGGGGGATGGGCTCTGACTGGTGTTTGTGCCTGACCCCCGTGACCCGACTTCGGAACAATCAGAAGATGTAGTGATTTTAAGAAAGCAAAATGGCTACACACTTTGGCTCACCTGAACTGCATTGAGGAGCTAACAATGGGTAATTAAAGTGGACCCACTTTGACAGCAGATTTTGCCATCTTTGGCATAAAAAAAAAAAAAAAAACGACGGAAATCAAACTTCAATTTTTTTTTATAGTGTTAATATCACAAAACATGGTTATTTTGTCAGAAATGTTTTATTCCTTCTGAAAATGCTCATTGAGAGTGCTTCACCTGGCTGCTGTTGCAATTTAAGCATGTCGATACCTACATCATTTAATGTAAATAACCTTGTGTCATAGAGCTGACTGGTATGTACAAGTCTAAAATGCATTTTCACGAGCTATTATATTGAAAATCTGTAAATCTGAATTGTTTTAGGACAGCAGCAATTTTATTGGTGTTAGCTGCCTTCACACTAGCTGTTAGCTCATCCATCATGTCAGACTAACTAGTTCTCCAAACTTAAGGTGTTCAACGCACTATCTGCACCACCTTACATATTACTGATGACCTTTTTCACAGATCAATATATTTTTAGTGGTAAAAATTATCCACACTATAAAAAAAATCATTGATAGCTGCATCAAACAGAAATGTCATGCCTTTTTTTGTTGTTCTGTTTCATTTTTAGCCAAACGGTGATGATTGCGTGTATTAGTCCGTCTGATCGTGACTTTATGGAAACTTTAAACACGTTGAAATATGCCAACCGAGCCCGCAACATCAAGAACAAAGTGATGGTGAACCAGGACAAGGCCAGCCAGCAGATCAGCGCTCTGAGGACCGAGATCGCTCGACTGCAGATGGAGCTGATGGAGTACAAGACGGTGAGGGAGGGGGGCTCAGAACTGAATAAAATCACATTTTATGTCCGAAGGTAGTAATTAGTTACCTCCTGCAGGGTAAACGAATGGTGGGTGAGGATGGTGTTGAGAGCTTCAGTGACATGTTCCACGAGAACTCCATGCTGCAGACGGAGAACAGCAACCTGAGGGTGAGAGTCAAAGCCATGCAGGAGACGATTGACGCCCAGCGTGCACGGCTCACCCAGCTGCTCAGTGACCAGGCCAACCAGGCTCTCTCCAGGGCAGGTAAGGCTGCCGTCACACCAGAATCTCCACTCTGGATTCTTTTGTCTGTAGTTTTGTCACAAATTTAAAAGCATTTACGCAATAAAACACATCTGTAATCTGTTTCTTCTCCAGGTGAAGGAGGATCAGAGGAAATTGGAAACCTGATACAGGGTTACATTAAGGAGATTGAAGACCTTCGGTAAAAGCAATCGATCTTCAATGACTTATTTTGTCTTACCCTCTCGTCTCTGTTTTGCTTTTCGTTCTTATTTATCCTTTTAGTAAATTTAAGCAGATTCTGTTTTGTAGCCATGCAGATCAGATCTTTTTGGGGAATTTGAACTTGAGTTTATTTTTGATCATCTGCATTGTTCTAGGGGTGCAAAATATAGTTACTGCCACAGGGTCAGTTTTTTATCTGTATGGAGGCAGTCTCAAAAATACAGTCATGTGCTTCAGTGAAGTCTTATTATCCTGTCAGTATATATTTTTTGTTTTAATCTAACATCTATCATGTAAAAAAATATAATAAATGGGCTTCATAGTGCATAAAACATATTTGTAATGAAATGTCACCAAAGAATTTCAAAGCAAAACATATTGTGAAGTGAAACCCTCCCTTTCCTCCCTGAGATTCAAACCACACTGCACTGAAATGTCTTGGTCTCTGTTCTGGGATGTTTCCCCAGGGCTAAACTCCTAGAGAGCGAGGCTGTGAATGAGAACTTGAGGAAGAATCTGTCCCGTGCTTCAAGCCGTCAGTCTTTCTATGCAGGGCCCGGCTCCTTCTCCTCGAGTCTGATGGCCCCTGAGAAGGAGACGTCAGACGTCATTGAACTTGCAAAGAAAGACCTGGAGAAACTGAAGAAACGAGAGAAAAAGAAAAAGAAGAGGTAAAAAAAAAGATAAAGTGGCGATGCTGGATCATTTGAGCCGACACACTCTTTGGTTATATATTAATTATCTTGCGGATGTTTTGTTGCACAGTTGTACATATTCATCAGATTAAGTTTTTAACTGGAACCTCGATTAGTTTTAATAGCATACAATTTTTAGATTTTTCAAAAAGTAATTCTAATGTTTTGCCAAGAAGCCATCTCTGTATGTTTTGAATATTCTTAAAAAATGTTAATTCTTGTCATCTCTTGACTTTTAGGCCTGATTTGTAGATGAGATGATGCACAGTTCATGTTGAAAGTTAATATATATATTTATATATATATATATATATGGTTTCTTTTTTCCTGAAACATTTCATCCTTGATCCAAAGAACTTCTTCAGTCTGAGGAGAAATCATCCAGATGACCTGACTGAACATTGTTGGATTTTTATCTGGATTATTGAGCATGAACTTTGGTGTTTTGAACCACTTTGGCACGACTGCCTCCGAGGAACTGACGGGGGAGAGGGCGGGCTCCTGAGGCCATCTCATCACCAACAAACTGTTTTTTTACACTATGGGAGTGTGCTGTTTGTGGGATTCAGTTTGTTGGTGGCTCCTCAGATTGAAGAAGTCCTTTGGATTAAGGACGAAATGTCTCGGCAAAAAAAAGAAACCGTCCAGATGACCTGACTGAACATTGTTGGATTTATTCCTGGATTAATGAGGATGAACTTTGGTCTTAATCCCAGTCTTAAAACTGGACAGTGTGTCAGCCTCACAGACAGAAACTGGAAGTTGGTTCCATAAGAGAGGAGCCTGATAACTGAAAGATCTGCTTTTGGAAACCCTAGGAATCACAAGTAAGTCTGCAGTCTGAGAGTGAAGTGCTCTGTTAGGAAAATATAGAACAATAAGATCTCCAATATAAGATGGAGCTAGGTTGTTGAGGGCTTTGTAGGTTAGATGTAAGATTTTGAATTCAATTCTGAATTTGACAGGGAGCCAATTTAGAGAAGCTAAAACTGGAGAGATATGATCTCTCCTGCTAACAGGCAATTAAGAGAAAAACATTTCCACACAGTGTCTCTAAAATATCTATCTTAACCGTCCGTGGGTACTTAGCGTCTTGTCAGTGATTGTGAGTGACTGCAGCTCGTGTCTGTCGGTATCAAACATGTTTTTGACCACACATTGGGTTGGTTAACAGTTGTAGGTTTTCAGCTGTGAGAGACATTTCTTGTTGCAAAGTGTAAATATGGTAACCTCATGGTCTGAAAGTGGCTACTTGTTCATATCAGATGGATGAATTAAACTGGAGGAGTGTCCCCTGAGCTGTTCATCAAAACCTAAATCATAGTACAGAGCTTTCTTTGACTATTCTCTCTTCCATTCTTCCTTCATCTCTTGCTTCCTTCTCTGGTTTCACCTTTTCCCCCTCCTTGAAGACTCCAGCAGCTGTTGGAGGAGAGAGAAAGGGAGGAGGTGGAGGATACCAGGTTTGTCTGTGCTTCAGCCCTCCTGTTCTGCTTCCATCCTTTGCTTTCACTTTCTAAGCAGTTCATTTTATTTTTCTTTTGTTTTGGGCAGCTATATCTTTGCTCTTGCAACACTTTTTGAATAATTTAAAAATAAAGTATAACCTAATCAAAAACGCCATACCGTATTTTTCAGCCTATAAGTCGCAGTTTTTTTTTGCGTAATTTGCATGCCCTGCGACTTATACACCGAAGTGACATATTTATGGATTATTTTCCATATTTCTAAACCAATTTTTGGCTGAGATATGACCGTTTTCATTCAAACGCTACCATTTTCAGCTGCTAGATGGCACTCAAGTAGTATGGCATGCTGTTGTCATGTAATGGCTTAAAGTGGCTATTAATGACGGAATCGGCTTGCTATAGATGCCGTCTTCGTCCAGCGCGTCTGGAGCAACCGTCAAATCAGGTTAATTTCGCTGTGTCACCCCGTCGAAATGCAGCTGATTTGACAGTTAAGTCCTTTTATTAAGTAAACGTTCAACTGAGACACACCTTTACTATAATGATGAGCAAACAAATAATTGTTTTTAGATGGTTATCTTGTTAAATTTCAAATAAATGCACATCAAGTCCTCCTGTGCACACTCCCAACTTCCGCGTATCGGCTTTTGAAATGCAGCTGATTTGACCGTCAACGTGCATTTATTAACGAAAAATTAAACTGAAACACACATTTGCTATAATTTCGAGCTAACGAATAATTGTTTAAGGGTTAATCTTGTTAAATTCTGTTAAAGTCCACTTTTATTAGACAAATCTGGACTGATGTGACTTATAAGGCGGTGCGACGTGTACGGCGTAAAATACGGTATATAAGATTTTCTTTGCTCATCCTTTTGTGCTACAACTTTGCAACATTTTCATTATGTTCACTTAAAATATAACGTGTGAACACCTTTTTATAATTCATTTAACAAGCACTTAGCAGCATTCAAACTACTTGAGTTAAAGAAAAATCTGTGTTTTTGGTCCTCATTTTGGTCCTAATGGGCCACTCTTCTATCTGCTTACTTTTGTGAGTGGATAAAATTAGGGCTGCAGTTATTGAATATTTGAGTACCAGTAATTAATTGATGATTCTTAATAGCCACTTGTTTCCAGCTTTTTATCATAAAATCCCCGTCTTATACCTACAATAAAACAAAAACTGAGCCTCCCTTTTCTGCTAAGAGAACCGTGCACGCTCCGATGCACCTATGTCTCGTGCTCTTCGAATAATCCACAATTTTTTTGTGTGTTCATCTGGAAATAATAATTTGGTATCGAACAGCTGAGGCTGACGTTTTTTTTTAATGCCAGGAACATTGAAGTTCATCAACACTTTATTAATTTGATAAGAACTTGCCCGCGGTGGTAAAACTGGACTTGTTTTCCTCTCAGCTTGTTTTCAGATCTGTTCATTGACACAGAGCCACCTGCTGTGTGCGTCGTTACAGCGTGCTGTACAATTGTTTGTTGGCTCGTTGTAAAGTTAGTCTTTGCACAGATTCTTTTCAATCAGAGCACGTCTTTACAAATCGTTGCTGACGTTGCAGTAATGCGGTGAGTTAAATCTGGTCTTAAATTGAGAATGCTCTCTCGTTTTTGTTTGAGGTACCACCAAACCATTTGGCCTTTTTGTAGATTTTCTTCAGATTTTCTCCTTCATTCATTTTCTTATTCCTTTGTTGCATAAAATACAGCAGTCCCTCGATTATCGCAGGGGTTTTGTTCCACACACCATCGCGATAGGTGAAAAACTGACAAGTAGGAACGCTATATATATATATATATATATATATAT